TGAGGCAAGACATGTGCCTGCTAACACAGCTTTCAGACAGTATTTGGCACCGTATACATAATTTGAATGGAATATATGATTAAATCGGATACAATTAACATTTTCTTTGTTTATAAGGACTCAAAATCACATTTGAAGAATCACCTGACATTTAAACTGCCATACTGTTTAAAATACTGAACTTCACAAACACTTTCCTGCATTATATTCCAGTAATGCTGGGATGCCACATCGCCTAAGATTGAATTTAGTGCATAGCTAAAATATTGGTTTGCAACCAAAAGAAAATTTGACTTTGATCGGTACTTTCCGCCCTGTTCAACCGACATCATCATTTAAATGTCATGTGGCCGACTGTGGATTTTTGATTTACCTCCATAGTTTTATTATAAACCTGTTTACTTGTTGTCATGAGGAACATCTGCTCTGAAGTATCTGCTCTAAAAGGCACTTTCTCTTATACTCTAACATTCTTCCAAACAAACAGAAATCTATTCACCATAAAATCTTATTTGTTTGTGTAATTCTTCTCATTCTTCTTAACCACATGGGAAGGATACAGTATGTAGGGGTTACACTGTTTGGATATTACTTAAACAAACTTTACAGTGAGAATGTTTCCAATTTCCATGAGAGAAACTTGCAGTAAACCCAGCTAATCTGCACTCATAGCATCTGAAAACAAACACTGAGGATTATTTGCTGACCGGCTCGCCTGAACTCTCGACCACACAGCCTTAATCCGGCTATCCAAAACACTGCACTGACACAATAAAGAACAATAACGTCTCTCCCTCCTGTCACAACAAATAAAAGTCTCACGTTAGTGCGCTATACAGTGAGTACTATTCAGTGGCTGGCTGCCAAAAAGATGTTAACATGTTTTATATTTGTAACAAAACAGACCACTTAATCCCATTTACATCTCTTCGGCTATATCTGTGAGTTATTTTAAATAAAAAACGGGTTAGTAGTTTTACTTAGTTGACATATTTGGTAATAATTGTTAAGCGTATTTATGTGACGTTAGCCACGTTAACGCACCTTGTAGATTTTCCTATCTTGAATGGATTAACGTTAGTCACAACGATTGCATTGGCGCTCATTATAAAAAGAAAAAGCAGACAAAAAACGAAGTACCAATAAGAGTAATGTCTTTCCAGACAATAAACTGTCTTTCTGTTTTGAATTTCAGAGATTTCGATATCAAAAGCAACACAAGAGTCAGGAAAAAACTGATGTATCTGAGAAATACAACATATTGTGATGTATTTAAGAGAAACATGTTTTATGCATAGTCAACATTTGATATGCCATGGATAACCATGATAAATGATTCAGTCAAATGTCCCTATTTTGTTGGGTTGTTTAGACGAGACAAAGACGGGTCATTGAAATCTGAGATTAGAAAAAACAAGAAGAGGGATATTAAAACAGATAATGCACAATAGATCTAGGTGTGTTGATAACTCAATATACTGTTTAAGTTTAGAGACGCTACCTGATGATAATTAGAGCATTTTAGACATGGGTCTATTCAAACCAACTGTGCAGCCATGGTTAAAGTCAAATATTTAACCTTTATATCAGCTAAAGCAGGAATACTCCCTGAATTAAAACTGGTTCATATTCAGTCTCCTGTCCTGCCCTGCCCTTGTACTACACTACGGGTCAACTGACACATAAACTCTTGTCTCCTCTTTCTGTAAATTTCCGTCTGGGGTTGAACCAGAGCCCCTCGGCAGTGCTACCGTTGTTCTGCTGCAGTCTTTCCTGACGTCAGGTGGTTATTTGAAGAGGGGTCCATGGCTCCTGGTCAGGTTTCTCTCAGGCCCGAGGCTCATCCCATCTCCCTGACCCCCTGGGAAGCGGAGGTCACGCATGAGAGCAGGGGAATGAAAAGGGCCATTCCTCTGATTTATGGCCCGACGCAGCCATAGGATACCTTCAGCTCAGGGATGGTTTTTGTTACGGAGGCGGGGGTACACCGTGGCAGATTTCCCCCATCACCTCCTGCTAAGGTTTGGTTTAAGATTTCAGCCATTTAGCTTGGTATTCAGAGTCAAAGGAGCAGTAGCTGAAATGGTGGGTTAGGACAATAAGCAGGTACAACACAGCCATCGCTTGCTTTTGTCGGATTCTCTGGTAGATTCACAGATGTGAGCCAGCTGTTGGATTCTGAAACGGTGATACATAACTTATTCGACTGCTGCTGCTGCTTTGGATCATTCCACCCATTCTTGGACTCACTTATGAGGATTTCATTTTATTCCTGTATCAAATGAAACTCACGTTCCAGTCCCTCTATCGTTATTCAAACCTAATCTGCCGTCAAAATTCCTAAACGTTTTACTGTCTTTCCTAAGAGTTGGAAGAAGTAGAGCTGGAAGAAGAAGTAGAGCTTTGGTTGACGAATGGTTGCATCGGATGCCATATGACCGCAATGTCGCCGGTTCAATTTCAGCCAGGTCCCTCATGCTTTGCTCTCCGCTCCGTCGGAAAAAGTCATGACAAATTACAATCATCATGTAATTTGTTCGGACACAACACTTGAAAAATGCCCAACTTTGTCTTATAATTTGTGTTTTTCTGAAACTTTAAAAAAGTTTCAGAAAAAAGGTACAGTGCCCGTTGAAAGCAAATCAGGCCCTATTCATCATTTATTATGCTGCTAAGACCTTTACGTGGTTATTAATTTTGCTACTTTTCCAGTGTTATGGGACTAAGAAACCGTGTATGGTAAGGAACTAGGACACATCTCTCGTCCTCCACAGCAACTTCAGTTCCCATACTGCCTCTTCAGAGTCCCTCAGGCTCTTAGCTTTCTGATTTATCTGGCACATCACTGATTAAACTGTGCCATGGCTGCTTATTAGCTATCATGTTTTATTCTTGCATTTTACAGACCTCTGTGCTACTTTTGTGTGTTCCGACTGCCTCTCTATCCCTGAGTCATGAAGCTAGCTTCTCTCAAGCGTAGACATCCACAGTCTGCTGGAGCTGCTGGCGCTGAAGAACTAGGTCAGATTTGACACACTTCAGAACCCATGCTAACCCTGACACACATTATTGCATCTCAAAGCACTGAGGAAAAAATCCCAGCTGAAAATGCATTTCAGTTTGAGGTCCACTCTGACACAAAGTGATAGTATTTGACCCGAGTTGTTGTCAAACAGCTGGACTGGAGGTTTTTAGCCAAAGAGAAGCTCATGTTCTGCCTTCCTCTGCGATGTGACGCTGAAAGAGTCTTGTTGTGACAGTTGCCAGAAGCGTTCAAGACCACAGTGAGTTTAAAACTCCAGGCAAGAAAGGAATCACATTTTTTATTTGTTGCCCTAGAGAAAAGTCTGTTTTGCTTTTGTGGCAGTAAGGAAAGGACACGAACAAAGTAAACCCACAACTGCCGGTAAAACATGTTAAAACAGTATGGCATTATTGGGAGATTAAAGTGCTCTAAATAGTTTTGTGAAGTTTCATAATATGTTTTATTAAATTAAAACTTTGAACCAGTTTTGAAGTCATATTTGGGTCAAACACTTTCCGGTCAAGATTTGCTGCTATAGGCAAAAGTGTAGAGCAGGAGGTCTTTGGACCCCCTGTGGCTATATTTTTTACGTGAGTGGAAAACCACATCAGCAGCATCAAAGCCTACAGTGGTGGTGAATTCCTGCCAGTTTAACATCCACTCTTCAAATCAGGGTTTTTCTGCAAGCTCATCAAAATTCTTAAGCAGGTACAGCAGCTCGACTTTACCCCGAAAAGCTAGACACTAAACCAAACTAAACCACGTAAGCCCTGTAACAATACAAAATCTGAATTGTCGTCTACAGCTGTTGTCTGTTTGTTTCCATGCAGACTGTGGAAGAAAGGCCAAACCCAAAACACGACCATATGTTTAAACCTTGTCCTATGAACCCAAAACAGGATGTCGCAGCAGGTCGTCCGGTCACAGTAACTGACATGGACACAGACACAGGAGGGCTATTGTTTTCCTCCAGCTCTGGAAAGGAGGTAAGGGAAGTGTGGTAAAGGGATGTAGAAATTGGAGGTTTGTGTTTATGTGTGTAATTACACTGTATGTGTTGCAGTTAGAGACTTACATACTTTAGAGCTATCTGAAGAAACAAAGCATTTTGCTCACTGTCTGAAAAACAGAGCCCCGGGACCATGTCAGAAGATTGTATCCTTAAATGTCCTTAAACCCTTTTGGGTTCATTTAAAGGGAAAGTACTTCCTGCAGCAGAAATCATATTATTTTTACAATGTGCATTTTAAGTTTCTAACCCAGCTGAAAAGCTAATGAAACCCTTGAACTGTTCCATGGAGAATAAATAACACATTAACTCGTAACCAAACAACACACATGGTGATGGTTTTGTAATGTGGAGACATTTCCCTGCTGAAAAAACCAGCTTAGACCAATTTAGCTGCCAGCCAGTAGATATTAGGCTGGAATGGTTGGCTGGTTTAGAGGGGTTTTGGACACTTTAGCACCAGCTAAACCATCCAAACCAGCCATCCTAGCCAGCAAAAAACCCCAGCATAGACCAGCATGCTGGTATGCTGGGCTGGTCACCAGCATCCACCTATCACCAGTTTATGTTTAATAATAGCTGGGAGCTTACCAGGATTCCAGGTGACCAGCATACATTGTTTAAATACTGGTATGATTATTTAAACCAGAGAACATAAATATATTACAAAGATTCATTGTGTCATGTATTCTGGTATCTACCAGTGTTCATAACAGTATTTTAATTTAATAAATAGCAATAAATAGCTAGTTAATATAATAAAATACACAGTAACAATACAATAATTATACAAATAGCAACCAACCTGCAAATCAATACATCAACATATATTATCTAAAACAGGTGCATTTGATTTAAAATAAAAGCAATAAATAGAATTCAATATTTAAATGGAAACAGTAACACTATGTATGATAAGAAAAAGGCAACAAAGAAAGTGTTTTTTGTTTTTCCTTGCTCATGTCCATGTTTCCCGTTGTGTAGCGTCCAGCCTTTCCCAATCTAGCCTGCATTTCTGTCTGCTGAAGCCACTTCTTGAAGCAAACTGAAAAGAAATGTACAGATATAAGTACACTGTAAAGAAAACTTGACATTTACGTTGACATTTGGGCTGCTGTGGTTGCCAGAACTTGACCGTTAAAGTACGGTAAAATACATTACAAATTACAGTTGGTTGGCATAGACGTTACAGCCAACAATTGCTTATGGTGAATTACAATGTCAAAAAACAATAAAGCTAGTGTACACGGTGCAGCTGTATCATCTGGGAAATAGAAGAATCGGATCAGGATTCGGTATTGGCAGACAATCAATATCCAATTAATCGGATCATTATTAGCATCAGCATTTGATCACCTTTGTCGACTTGCAGCCTAAATACAAAGATAACTCCATTCCTCTCCTACCACTCTTACCTCTAATAAGCCTTGGTAGAACTAGTGTCTGAGTCATAAGGTCCAGAACTGACTGAAGACATGTGGAACAGAGTCATTGGGTCCAGAGCTGACTGAAGACATGTGGAACAGAGTCCCATACAGGCATGGTTCGATGTTCAGGAAACTGGAACTTTGAACAGGTGTTTTCATCTTTTCTGCCTGAAGATTCACAAGTTCTTGATCAGATGAAGAGTCAAGGCAAGAATCAGTCGACCATTAACCTCCAAGACGATTAGAGAACTCACAGCTTATTTTTTAAATGTTTTTATATTGACTTCTGTGATCTAATGAGTATTCTTTTAAATGTTGCAGGATTTGTTTCCCATATTTTGAATGTCTAAGAATGTTTGAAATACATTATCTAGGAAAACCTAAAAAAAAAAAATAATAATAATAAGAGACAAAGAAATGATAAACATTCTAAGAGGCCGACTAGACTCAATGGCTCTTGATGACATCAATGTGCAGTCCCAATAGATGCTGTTGTGTAAAAAGATATAGAATAGGTCCAGATTTCTTCTATTTTGTGTTGGATGATTTGTTTTATTGATCGCTGATGGATGTTAAGATGTGTTTTACAATTATAACAAAAAGATTATTGTAATTGGAATAAAAAAGATTGCAAATGCATAGTTTCGACGGAAGCGCCAGCCAATCAAATCATATGCCAGTACAAGCGCTAGCCAATCAAACCGCGTGCTTGTGTGTCGGGGCGGGAGATTAATGTGATTGGTTGTTGGTCGCGTGCCAGATATGCCCACTGGCAAGCTTCAACGCGACGGAACCGTGTGGACGAACCAATGGCGCTTCCGTTGACGCTTCAAAAGTTGAACTTTTCTCAACTTTCGAAGCGAGCAACGGAGGCAAAGCGACGTGACGGAACCACAATGCAGTTCGGCAAAGCTTGACGTCACCCCATTCAAAGTGAATGGGAAGCGTCTCCGTTGAAGCACGCAACGGAACCATGTGGACGTACCGTTCAAAACCATGTTTTATACCGCTTTCTTTCAACCACTGCCGTCTCGCCGTTCACCCGTGTCCCGCCCTCTCTGTCTGTCTGTCTGTTTCAGTTTCACAAGACTGCTGGTAGACCAGCATAAATACCAGCTTCACCAGCATAGACCAGCTTAACTAACAGCTAAAACCAGCATAGACCAGCATGACATCCATGCTGGGCTATGCTGATGTAGCTGGCCAGGCTGGTCTTGAACCAGCAATACCAGCCTGGCCAGCTTGTCCAGCCTGGTAAACCAACTAAACCAGCCTAACACCAGCTAAAACCAGCTAAAACCAGCAACCATCTCAAGCTGGTCTATGCTGGTTTTTTCAGCAGGGTTTGTAATCGTTAGGCCCGAGGAGTAAAGAAAAAGCTTTAAGTTTCTTTTAAGGAACAGTTTTGACTTTGAAACATGTTTATATTATATATATTTAGAAGATTTTGACTATTTCTTTGACTTCTTTCGTGAGCTTTGAAAAAGTGGCAAATAGATTTAGTTACTTTTGGACTAAGCTAAGCAGCTGTCTGTAGCTTCTTATTTCTCAACCACGCACTTGCTACCCATTTAGATATTCCTAAAAGGAGTTTCTTACTCTTATAACATTACACTGATCAGCAACGATGTCTTGTTATTTGTCCAGACAAGGTACAGCTGTTTGGTCCAGGGGAGATTTCCCAACTTTGAAAAGTCTTGCAGTTCAAACAAAAAAAAGTAGGTGATAAAGGGCTCACCAATTAACACATTATAGCCTATTTGTTTTGTTTGCACACAAATAACTATGTAGGTTATATCGTGTTTATTTTATTGGGATGTCAAAAGCTGTTACTATATTTTGGCTAGGCTAGTGTCATGGCTGCTTTCCCTGCTCACTAATAATAAATGGACTGACCAAACGAGTTAATGGAGTTTCCCTTCAGGATTCAAGTTCTGAGACTGGGTAGACCTCTAAGCATAAGATAAAAAACACTTTTAGATCTGACTTCCCCTTGAGATTTGAAAACATTGAGAGCTGGTGCATGTGCAAAACAACAGATGACTCAGGCCTAACAGGGAGATATGAGATAAAGGGCGTCAGGAGGAGTCTGCAGACGGCTGGAGGGTCGCCATCAGAAGGTGTAGACACAGCATCAGGCCACACTGAGGACGCCTTTACAAACACAACCTGTTGCAACTCACTCAAGAGCAAGTCCATGCAGGGAATGCTAAAACGATTAGCGCCTAGCCACTTCAAATAATGTGAAAAATGAGACGTGATGTGGTGGAGGGCGGTAACAAAGAGTCAAGGCAAGAATCAGTCGACCATTAACCTCCAAGACGATTAGAGAAGTCACAGCTTATTTTCTAAATGTTTTTATATTGACTTCTGTGATCTAATGAGTATTGTTTTAAATGTTGCAGGATTTGTTACCCATATATTGAATGTCTAAGAATGTTTGAAATACATTATCTAGGAAAACCTTTTGCTATAATTCAAATGTTGATTATTAAGAGCACAAAAAAGACGACCCAAAACAAATGACCTTGACACAATTATTTCATTCTTTGTGTTTATTTGCTGTGTACATCATATACACAAACGTCTTTGGAATAAAACCAAATCTCTCTCATATATATATATATATTTATGTCAAATAAAAAAAAGAGATTCAGAGTTTCATGGAGCCATTTTGTATTTTGTAACATGCAACCAAATGTTTTTTAACAGGGGAAATATGAAACAAAAAAATCTGGGTTGGAGGGATTTCAGGAGTGTGCCATGCTGATGTTGAATACAGGAAATGAAACATAAACAAAGCTGCAACTAATGGTGTTAATTTATCACATACAAAAATATTGTGCCCTTTAGTTCAGTCATTCTCAACCCAAACGCCTCTCACTTTAACCTCTGCATACCTTCGCAGACCCCATGTTTATATTTCTGTGGCATCCAGGCCAAGCAATGGAAATTACCTTTCATGGAGATAAAGTGAAAGTCACTGAAGGATGGATGAAGTGAGGTAGGATCTGTGCTTATCAGAGGAAGGAGGGCGTCTGCCTCCCCTTCTTGTTTTGATGGGCACTGACTGAGCCAGATGGGAAGGTTAACGTCTGTAAACTGCCAGATGGTAAAAGTGACACTAAAATATTTTAAAGGCAGGCTTTGACAACTTTAGCTACTTTACTTTTAGAGGTGAATAGATCATTTTCATGAATTCTTCTTCATTTATTCTACTTATATCTAGTGAGTTTAAAATTGTGCTTATATTTGCTTGCAAAAGTCCAGTTTTGCTCTTACAGGAATATTTCCCTGATGTTCTCGCAACCATGTAGCTCACAGTACTCACTCAATAGACATGAAACATGAGCTGTGGTAACCAATGAGTGTGTCACAAGTGATTATTGGACAGTGTTAATAACACGTGAGAATCAACCCTCTGTAGAGATTAAAATCAAGGTGAAAATTATGAAAATGACAGGTCACAAATTGATTCTTGTCTTCCACGAATCGAGCTCAGTGTTTAACGTTATATGAGATGAATCTCTGTGGAGGGTCAAAGCTATATCTTCTTTATTTCCTCTGTCTGTCCAGTTCAGTGCATTAACAACCCCACAGGGGTCCTTTGCATGTTTGTTCCAACGCCTGCGTTTAGGGAGTAAAAAAAAAAGAAGCAACACACAATCTACATGTAGACTGGGACAGATCCAAATGAGGTACTCATGGTTCACATCACACTCACACAACAGTTTTCCAGTTTTAGTTAAAACATAGCTTAGTGGTTTTCCATTTTAATCTAGTCATTAAGTGAGTGTGTGTGTGCCAAGGACACTAAACTGTCCAGTGTGTCATGACAAACATACACTTATGTGCCTTGTGAGGGCCACAGGGGCCTGTTCAGTTCGGTCTGTAACTGAAAAGAAGCTACAAATTGAGAGGACAGCGAAGTCCACTCCACACACACGGAGACATTTGGTTTCATACACCAGTAAGGTCTTTCTACACCCACACATCCATAAGATCTATAAATACAATATATCAATTTGCTCTGCGATAACTAATAGCAGTTGTTGCAGTTGTTTGAAGAAACAGTGTCTTTGGAGTCAGGAAGAGCAAGGGACCAAAGGTTAACGTGTGCCTTGGAGTGCTAACTCTATGTTATGACTTAATGCTTCACTTGTAGTTTGTGATGCATCTTAGCAGCACATTTCTGCACAGCTCCTTCTCTTTGGGTGAGGATGCTTAACGGTTTAAAAAAAAAAAAGTTCTTGTTAGAGGAAACCCTTCAGACACCAGCACTCCACCACACATGGTTCCTTGTGCCTATATTACACAGTAGACTCTTTGGGTCCCTCTCGAGCAGCGTTCTTACACCCGTAAAGCCACTTGATGACACGAGCATTCCTCTCAATGATTGACACGCCGTTGGGAAGCTGCTCAGCCAGCTCCTCCTGAAACAGCCCGTCTCCTGAGTGCTGCGAGAACTCGCTGGGCTCCGAGCCGCCACAGCCGTCCCCTACCACGCTGCGGAGGGCCAGCGAGAGTGTGTCTATGGAGCTGGCCCCGGAGAGGAAGTTCTCACGGCCCAGACGATCTATCATGTCCAAATCCAGCCCGCAAAAGTCAAAGAAATTCTCCTGATCTGACAACGCTACTGAGCAGCGCAGGTCGGACCCAAACTGCTTTCTGGGTGTTGGTGGGGGTGACGCCCGCTTCCATGGGTCGTTCGCATCATCATGGTCACTTGAGTGGTTGTCAGTGTTGATACCATCACTGGTACCGTTTGTAAATCCATTATTAGTCTGTTCAAGCAAAGAGCTAAACCCAGGGCTGGGGATCGACCCTGGGCTGCGATCATGGTCAGTTTTACTCGACCTCCTGCTCCCCGGTCCTCCGTCAGTATTGTCTTTGTCATTGGTCCAAGACATGCGGGAATCTCCATCCCGTGATGACGCTTTCTCTTCACCAATCACCATCTTCTGGATCTTGCCATCACCTCCGCTACTCTTCTCCCTCATGGAGCCCTGGAAGAGGCGACGGACAAAACTGTATCCCTTCACTTCACTGTTAATGTTCTCTACAACTGCCGCACCTTCGGGGCTCTTGCACTCTTTCTTCTGCCTGTACATGAGGAGGGAGTCCGGCCTCAGCATGCGTTTGCCGTTGCTTCTTCTGAGTACAGGGGCACTGTGGGGCGCTACCAAGTTGATGCCCGGAGTCCTGGGGTTGGGAGGCAAAACATTGTTCACATTGCTCCGGTTATGCGCCTCGATGTCAACAGAAGTCCGTCTGTTCTCCTTCCTGGAGTCGTCATTTTCATTCTCGTCTCTTGAGGTGAAGGAGCCAGAGAGTGTAGAGAAGGGGGTGTTTGATGAACAGCGTGGGGTGAGACGAGGCGTCAGGCTGCCGGGGGTGGATAAAGCTCGCCGGGGCTGCGGTGGTGGAGTAGCGCATGGCACCAGCACTGGCTCCTGTTTGGTATTTATCACCTGCTGGCTCTTAACATATTTGGCTTTGTCCGCCTCAAGCCTCTCCACAGCGCTGATTGAGCGTCCATATCCTCCACCATCTATCGTCCTGCGCAGGTAGGCTGGACCCTTGTTCAGGAGCCTCAGAGGGGAGGGGGATCCAATTGGCGTTAGGGGCTTCATGTTTATTTACTGAGCTGGGAAAGACATCAAAACTGCAGCCCACAAATGACTGCCAGCTTCTGGTGTCCCTCAGAGAGCAGTTGTTGGCCCTATGAAGGTTCAAGTCTACAGATTCTGCAAAGGTTTCTAGGTGCAGAAAACAGTGGTAGCTCTCATTCCTGTTCTCACCGCTCTCGAACCAACTTTGAGAGGTAAAAGATGTGTTGCAATTCGGGAGACCACAGACTCCTACGTTTTCTATAGATAGCTGACAGTCTCTTTGTTGGGCAATGTCAGAAACCACACAAATTGATATCTCTATCCAGTATTTATACAGGCATTTGGATATGCAGGCAGGGCACAGGGAAGGCCTTTTTTTGTCAGCCAAGTTCACTCCCAAATGAGACGCTCCCAACCCACAACGCAGCAGAAATAGCAAGCAGGGTGCACTTTGAAAGGGTTATTCTTTCCTCCCCCACTTTTTCTTCTCTCCTTCTGTCTCCTAACAACACCCTTTGCTGTTTCAGTGACGGCTGCCTGGAGAAATTAGATATAATGGCTTCAAATATTTGCTTTGTGCAGGTTGTCTGAGGGTTGCCGGGTCAAGACTTTTGTTGTTTGGCGCCCGTCGTGGTTGAGGTGACCTGAGGGTGGCCGGCACCGAGGCACTTGGGTCGTTGATGGACAGATGGGGTAGATGCAGATCTCGTCCTTGTCCTCGCTTCACCTGTGTGGAATCCTAGGGGACACACAGAGAAAGAAAGAGTGGGTTTTTAGTTTTGAAATGTTATCCTCCAGGGCAAGCGACAGAGACCAGATGGCAGGCAGAACAGTGGTCCCTAAAGCTCGGCTCATATTGTGCGTATTTAAAGCTGGAGGGAGTTACATGACCGAAACAGAGCTGACATGTGTAAGCACTGATTACATATTAAATACAATGCTAATAGAAGCTGACACTCCTAAACATGAGTAAAGAGCTAAGGGTTCAACTAAAGGCTATGTTGACATAATTAAACATTTTAGAAGTTAGAATAGTTTTCCTTTATCACAATTATGAATTAACAAGCATATGTGGGTAATGTTCCTACGCACACATTTCTTTATCTTTTGTCACTCATTCAAATCTGTCCTTTTATTCTTGTAATGATAGATGTCCATTGTCCAGGCAGCATTGCCACATTCAGTATATTTTGGATGAAAGATGAATGAATTTAACAATGTCCAGTAGGCCAAAAGAAAAGGCAGCAAACACAACATCCTAAATGATTAATCGTTGTGAAAACTTGGCAAGCAGAGGGAGATTTTATTATTATTTTGTAGTTTTAATTAACAGCAGTTTTAAAATAATGTTTTTCATTGAATGACTTTTTCTTGGCAACAGTTGTTCTGTCTGTCAAAGCCATTGCTCTTACATACCAGGATAAGAAACTCAAGGGGGAAAATCCCTTTAAAAATAACAGTCTTTTGACAGGTAGGTTTAGCTGAATGCCGACAAAATTTAAATAAACATCTGTGTTAAAAACTACACTGAGTTTGTTGCCATTAAACATCTCAAAGTGTTGCTTAATTAGACCAATACCCTTCTGAGCTAATAACACGTTCACAGTCACAGTTAAACAGCTTTCTTTCATATTAACAAGCCACTAAAAGAGGTTACATGACACTTTAAAACAAACATAATGAATGACATAATGCACTGCCCCATTATATATTTATGTGTTCTATGAAGAGAGAGGTTTTATATATTTTAAAGTTGTCAAGCTATATGAGGATTTGGAGAGTAGGTTGCACGTGTCTATAATGGGAAAGGCTCGACCCAAGGAGTATTCATAGCATGAAAACAACCCTGCCCACTTATCATGTGTCTATGTATGTGTGCATGTATGTGCATGTGGTCATGGGTATATCTGCTGCTCTAGTTTTGCACCTGAGCTTAAGAGCATGTGTATGTCGGTCAGCACAAGGCAAAAAAGGACTTCCCTATGGATTAAAAAGGCAATATATAACCGTTGTCTTATTCTGCATCTTATTCATGTCTACGAAAGAAGCAGCATGTTGTGAAGAAAGTGTGAAGACAGAGAACACATCTCTTGAACTTAAAGATGTTATATATACCAAGTGGAGCGTGTTTTTTATTCACTTCCCTTCAAAATCTGTGTGCTGTGCTAGACAACAGGAGGGTGTTGTGCTTATTGTTCCCTCAGGTCTGCTTCAAGTGTTATAAAATGCTATTTTAATTGTTCCTTCACATGGGCTAAAACAATGAACCACCTCCTCTGGCAGGAAAAAGGATCCATGTCTCATGATTTAAGACAAACCATATGACCCCACTGATAGCACCAAGCACAAGCAAACACCACTTAACCCTTGGTTTACCGTCTTAAAGCACTATGATATAGTAAATGGCAGAATAACATTCAACAAAGGTCATGACGTACATTCAAACTTAAGACAACATGACCGACTGCACGGTAGCGCACTGACATTAAATTAAAACAAAGTGACTTGAACAAAGCAAACCAAGGGGGTAAACATGTTGGTATCTCAAAGGAAAACAAATATCAGATTCTCTAGTTTTTGGAAATACGTTTAGGACTAACAAGGACAATAACAAATTAAAGACCTGGTTTAAAAGTGTTTTGCATATTTGTTATAAACCAGAGTAACCTAACTCAAAAACATCTGAATACCCTAAATACCAGCAGTGAATTTAGGGACATAAGGTTATGAAAATTATTCTTTTGCATTAAATATTACACTTTCATTTGAATTAAGCCCATTAGATAGCTGCAATTGAAGATATACACAATTTAAAACACAACTTCTTAACTATGGCATTACTCTTTTGTCTAATGCTACTAAATACTTAAATACTATTGACACATAAGAAGGGGACATTTCACGTTCACGTAACTCGACCTCCTTTAGTCTGCACACCCTCGCAGAGAAGCTTGAGCATGTCAAATGTCATGCCACTATAAACCACTGAGGAAGGGGGGGGGGGGCAACAGCCAAATAGTTGTTTTTTTCCAGATGTCAGACAGACAGATTTCAGGAAAGTCAGCCATTGTTTAGGTAGAGTTCCGGGAAAAAAAGTCAAGCAACAGGTGTGGAAGGGTAAAAGAACATGAAACAAGAAAAATAGGCAGAAAATGAGGAGGAAGTGGGGCTGGAGGTTACGGTGTATGGTCAGGGTTTTTGGGGAATTTATTAGACACCTTTCTTCCGGAACAATCTGTTCAACATCTGTGTTTAAAATGAAAAAGGTGCAGGATATGCTACTGAAGCATTAAAGAAAGTTATTGCCATAGGAAGTCAGTATTCCTGATGTTGGCTTTTATTGAGGGGTATGGGGGTAATTTATACGACTACAGCAACTGATAATCTGTACAGTCCTCAACAATATGGGCAATGTTTGTCCTTCTTCTGATGTTTTCCTTGGTTTAACTCTGAATGATTGTGTGAACTCATTGAATCTGACATTACAAGCTTGAAGGGAGCCAGCCGCTTTCAGAGGTTATCTCTTGCTCCAAGTGTTATCTCGGACACCATATGACTAAATCTGAGTCACAGTGACGTTTTTTCAATAACAATATCTTAACCAGAAATGGTCCTGAATATAGAAAATGACTAAGGATTCTTCTAAACATAAATTAATAAATTAAAGGAATAGTAGATAAGGGGGAAGAAGAAATGTGCATGATGAAAGGTTACGCTTACACAAACACACACACACACACACACACACACACACACACACACACACACACACACACACACACACACACACACACACACACACACACACACACACACACACACACACACACGGAGTGAACCACTTGAGAACAACAGCCCCCATTAGCTCCATTGACTGTAATGAGCCAGATTAGTACCCAGCACCTTCTCCTGTGATCTCGAGGTTTGTGAAAAGCGTGAGATGGCTGTAAAATCTTCCTCGTGTTACGCGACCTCATTCATCTCTCTCTGTAGGTTGTCATTAACCTCTAAACCCTTCCCCTTCTTTCTCATCTCTATAGTGAACAACCCCCCACCTTCCCCGTCCTTATGCTACCTCACCTTGGGTCTTTCATTTCCCCTGCCCTCCTTCCCCCTCATCATCCCTCCACATCTCCACTATGTGCCACAGGGCCTCGGTACCCTCTCATTTCCCCCCCTGCCCCATCACTCTCTTCCTGTCTCTCTCCTGCTGCCTCTATTTACTCCCTCTGTGTCTGAGTGCAATCTTCAAAAGCTTTTGCCAAACAAGATGTTTTATTCAGGAGAATTGGTTTTGATCATATATTGTCACTGTTATTACACATTTGAGGGTTCATAATGTGAAATAACCAAAAAAGGACTGAACCTATTTGACTCTATTCAAAATGAAACAATCCAAAAAAGTAAAACACACATTTTGGTTAATCTGTTCACAGTTTAGAAACTTGAGCAAAATATGACAAGTTGTCAGGTGTATAGGCATTGTTTACCTATAAAGGTTCATACATCCAAACTTTTTGGAACTAGTGGTCTAATCTTATTGGTCTTATTATTTTTGTTGTTAATTTGTTTTCGCTCGGTAGCTGTGAAACACGTGCAACAGCTAAAATAAGAAGTGCAACGGATACCTTCTCACCTCTTTCTACATGAATTGTCGGCCACACATCAGAAACAGTCCCCTCCACCCAAATCTGATTTTGGGATAATATGTTTTTAGGCTGTTCAAAGATTCAACAAGCACTCTGCTCCATTTACAACTAAATATGTATAATACTGCTCTATGTGAGCCTTGTTACAGGTGGAGCTTAAGGTCAGTCCATTGAACATAACACTTAATAGATTGCACAACATGACAAGCTGGATAGTTACAGATGAAGCCTATGTGAATAAAAATATATACAAACAAGTGAAATGTCTGAGGAAATCTACAACATCTTGATCATAACAGACTGCAGGATCACCAATTCAGCTCTCCTTCCCCTTCCATCCCTCTGTTCCTTAATTAAAACGCCTGTCTGTCTGTCTGCTCTCTATCCCTTCCCGCCTCTCAGTGTCCTCCCTGTGAAGCCTGCAGGGGAGGCTTAGCCCGGCGCCCCCATGCAGCTAAAGAGGAAACAGATGTTTTGTGCCATGCTACATCAAGACCCTCGGACATACCCTGACCGAGACCTGTCAAGGGAGTGTACTTCAATTTCCCTTTTGATTAACGGCATTGTAAGTGTTCTATATTTGAGCCCTGTAGAACACAAAGCAGCATGTTTACATTGTGTTATCGATTATCGACAGTGTAAAAAAATACAGCTCTGCTTATTTTCTCTGATGTAAAGCAGTGCCGCAGAAAGAAGACCAAAGAAGTGTTTGTTTGCTTCAAGAAAGCCCACCGAAAAATAACTTTATCTGGTTTAGCATTTCAAAAAGGAAAAACAGCTGGCGTCGGATTCGAAGGTTAAAGGAGGTCCCAGAGTGAATTATGTATTCAGCGTGATAAACAGGAGATACGAGGTTCATAAATTCACAAGGACCACCTTTAAAGTGCTTGGGAATAAATGAAGCATGCTTACCTGTCAAATGAATCTTTGGACAGATGAGAGGCATCTGCTGCCGACAGAGCCAACTGGCCTCATTTAACGCCTTTCCTTTCTTCCCTCCTGCAAATCTCACTTTCTTAACACTAACATCTGGCCCTGCTCCTAATGATGACACAGAGTAATGATCAGCAATGGGCTGAAATGTCTGAATGTTCAAACGTTAACCAAG